TTTGATATCATTAATTTTTTTTGGAAAGACTAAAACAAAAGTAGAAAACAACATTACAAATAAAGTACAAAAGAAGGTGCCAGAGACTCAGAGAAAGCAAATCACCCAGTGGCGATCCAGTGAAGATCAGATGACTGTAACCCAGTGCCATCATGACATTCAAAGGCCAGTAGGAAAAGGAATAGTAAAGGAGTTTACTTAAAGGAGAAAATCAAGAGACATTTTATCCAGGACTACTAATAGTTAAAAAGTCCACAGGAGACTGACTCGACGTCTCACATTGCCAAGGTCACAAATGATGTGGCAATTTCAGCAATAGAAGCATTGAATTCCCAAAATGGGGGAAAGAAAAAAAGAAAAGGAGGAAATGTGTGAGGTCAAGAGAATAATGGACATCCTTGGACTGCTGTCTGAAGAACCAGAAACACATTCAATTTGCCAATAAGCAAATGAGAAAGTGGCAGACACACATAACCTTCAGACATTTCACATCTGGCTGGAGGATAACAATGTCCTCCCTCAGGGCCGCTGGAGGAGTACTCCAGAACTGTCCACTCTCCTGGTGAGTGAGGTAGGGACACCATTTCACGTGTCAGCATGACTAGCATGTCCTCATTGAAGAGTGCCAGTGAAGAAGTGCAGGTAACTGACACCATGCAAAATGCACAGCTGACACCCTGTGAAACACAAGCCATAAAGAGCAGTTCTCATCCTAGGCAAGAAACAATTTTAGCGATTATTTGCATATTATTTCAAAGAGAATAAAGACTGATATCTGTGGTTAAACAATGTAATAAATGGCCGTCCACATAATCGGTTTTCTAAACTATGCTATTCACCAAGCTGCAATACTACCTCTTCCAAATCCCTGTCTTGAAACTCTGGCCCCAGTGGGAGTGTGTTGGAGCCAGGACCTTTGGGAAGTACTAGGGTTAGTTGAGGTTGCAGCAACATTAATGAGAGCAGCTGTCCACAGGGAAACTCTTCATCAGAGCTAGATTAGCTCATACAGGGACCTTGAACTTCCAGATAGTGAGGAAAAACCTCACTATTTAAGTCACCTTACCTGTGAGATTTTACTATGGCACCCCAAGATGTCTAAGACAACATGGAACAGGAAGTGGTGAAGTTGCAAGGGAGGACTTTTGGGTGGATTTACACTAACACAGAAAAATGTGACAGTTTGATGAAGCAACTGAGCTTCCAGTTACAACACTGGAGCACCATGACTCATCCCCATTGTCCCAAACCTAATCAACAGAATACAGGTAGGACAGCTGTCATCCCATTTTCTCATCATGCATCAAAATTTCTTCAAAACAAAGGTACCAAAATGATACTAATGAACCTGGGGCAGTAATCACCAACCATCTTCTACACTGGTATCTTTGACACTAGTGGCTTTCTCTGAGCCACAAATATGTGATCTCCAGAGGTCATCTTGGGCATCAGACAGGATTCATTTGGGTCACAGTTGCTTACAGAATGCCAAGGCGACATGAAAGGCAGAGCTGAGAGAGGCTTGATAGCACACATCCCCAGGGGTTTCTCCTAGTCAAGCCTGACTGACAGGCCTATGGTAGAAAGCAGTTGATTGCAGGTATTTACAGTAATGGCCTGTCAGGAACTTGATCTATTTCAACATGAAAGCTGGCACACAAATCAATAATGAGACAGCAAACGAAATCATTATAAGGCTAGGGTAGCATTCCAGTGAGTGGGCTGATTTTGTTCACAGTGAAGTTGAAGACACTGCACTGGCAGGATTAGCCTTGGAAAGAGAAGAAAGCAGGGGCTCCTGGCTTAAAGAGCAGCTGGGGCAGTGTGGGATGCAAATCAAGAAACCTTGAAAAAGACCCAGGAAGGTTAAAGCAGAGATAAAATTGTAGGCAGCCTGTGGGAAGTGAGGATAAGAAGTAACTTGAGAAAGCACATGCATTCAGCCCAGCCTAGTCAATGTTGGCATTTCAAGAAGAGTATGATATGAAAATCTGACCAGCTAATTGTTTAATCGTAATTAACACCAAAAGAAAATAATTGAAAAAAAGCAGACAGAATGCCCACTTGAGATTCAGAAAAGAATATAGTCATTATCTAAAGAATTAAAAAAACACTTTCTCTAAATCTCCCAACTTAAAAAAATACTACAATAATGAATATCTTAGGAGCACCATGTTCAACAATTTACAAAGACTTTGGCCTTCAAAAACTGTGTGAATAATTTGTTCCCCAATTTTAAGCCAATTAATAATGTTCTAGGGACTAATTGAAGATAACCTTTCACAACAAAACATACAGAAAATGTGTTTGCTCCTGTCAGTAGGCAACCGTTAGAGGCCTCCACAGGGGAGGTGGGGTCACCTAAAGAAATAGAGATCTTAGTAAAAACATATTAAGTATCATGTAAATATAAGAAGAATGTATAAAAAGAGACAAATATGTAAACTGGAGTCCTGGGAGGAAAAAGCCTCCAATTTGAAGACTCTAGAAGACAAAGGTGCAAACTGGAGTCGCAGAGTGATAAACAACACCTATGTGAAGACTCTGGCTGGTCCACAGATCAGAACTTCCTGACATGGACAGTCAGACTTTGCAGAACTCCCTGATGTAGATAGACAGTTAGACTTTGTAGAACCCCCTGATGTGGGCAGTTAGACCTTGCAGACTTCCTGATGTGGGCAGTTAGACCTTGCAGAACTACTGACATGGACAGTTAGACCTTGCAGACTTCCTGACATGGACAGTTGATTTTGCAGAACTCCCTGACATGAACTGTTTGACCTTGTGGAACTCCCTGACATGGACAGTTAGACCTTGCAGAACTCCCTGATGTAGACAATTAGACCTTGTAGAACTCCCTGACATGAACAGTTTGACCTTGTAGAACTCCCTGATGTGGACAGTTAGGGATTGTAGAACTCCCTGACATGGACAGTTAGAGCTTGCAAAACTCCCTGATGTGGATAGTTAGACTTTGCAGATTCAGAACCAGACTATCTTGCTATTCACTGTCCATGTTCTTCCTGACTCTCACCCTCTCTATAGTCCATTTTTGTTATTGCTTCTGTTCTGAGACAGGGTCTCACTGTGTATGCAGCTCTAGCTGCCCTTGAACTCACAGAGATCTGCCTGCCTTTGCCTCCACACCCAGCTTTGGCACCCATTCTTGACAGACTAATACCTTCCACCAATGTACACATGAAGAATAACATTTCACCTGAAACTCTCAGAAGAGTTTTCCTAGCTTTGTTGTCACCTGTCTACTTGGAAATACATTAATTTATGACTTTCTTTTGCTCTAAGGAAAACTAATGTACCTCCGTCCATGGTGCTATTCAGGGCAACCCGAATCAATGTTCCTGGGCCACAGGCCCAGTTCATATTCACTAATCAGTAACTGCATCTACCCTAGATATACAAAAAGAAAAAGGCAAAGCTGGTTTCCAGGAAACTACTGCTCAAAATGCAAACAATGACCTTGAAAATACGACCAGAGAAAGCATTTTAAACTCTTCTTATACTTTGATTAAGTCAATATGGATCTATCAACAAGTACATAGATTTGTATTTTACATTTTTTGTTTGTTTCTTTAACATGTGGTTAACATGATGAAACTCTCCTTTCCCAGAGGTAATTTCCAATATTACAAGGAAGGAAAAGCTTGCTCTAAGAACTCCAACTTTCCAGACAGCCTTACTCTATGTCTTGAAGTATAGAAGGGACTTAGAACTAGTTTCAAATCATCTGCATTTCTCGTCTCATGAATAAAGGTGTAAAATCTCATTTTTTATGTTTCCTTATAACCATGGACATTCTCAATTTATAATTTCATGATGGTATGAAATAAACCCGAGTTTAATGGCAACCATACTTCAAATCTTTATCTGGACTAGTGATATGCAATATCACACCTTCTCATGATTCTGGGTAGCAGGATTGAGCTACAGGTCCTAGTTATCGACCTAATCACAGGCAGAGAACTGATAACTTACAGTGTATTCATGGTGTTGCAGACAGTATGGACAAATAGCTACTGTCACATCAGTGTCTACACTTAGGCAGATGTCTGAATTAAAAAGTAAAAACTTGGAAAGTAATACAAGACACAAAGGAGGTTATATTAATAAAGGCACTTGCCACCAAGCCTGACAACCTCAGCTCAATCGAGACCTACATGGTAGAATTGGGAAACCAACTCCCCCCCCCCCCCCGTCACACACACACAGAGGTAAAAAAATTGCTTAAACCAAAGAAAATTTGATATGAGAATCTGCCAAGATTTTTTTTAAATCAACAATCCAGGGTCAAGTAAAGTGTCCTTAGTCATAACTACAAGCCCATGCATTTGCACTCAACAGATAGGGAGTGTAGGTCCTTTCCAACCATTTGTCTCTCTACATGCTTGGATGTAATCTGAGTGTTTTGGATAAAGATGTATTTACATGCGACTTAAATCTATGTCATGAGTTGCCATAGCCTTTGAAGCATCTCCTTCTCAAGTGAAGCACTGAGGCTGATGTGGAACAAGGCTGGGGAGGCCCAGCATCCTCCAGGGCCACACAGCTCATCACCCTACCTACTCATGCTTCCACACAAAACTCTTGGCTAGGGACATTTGGAATCACCAGTGCCTTACTTTCCATTTTTTACACAAGCTTACAATAGCACAATTCAACAGTAGATTTTGGCAGAAAACAGATGCAAAGCATTCTTAAAATGTCAATTTCTTACTGGATTATGTCTCCTGAAAAGAGTTTTGCTGAAAAATCATTTTTCTGTCATGACTCATCCATTTTATTTTTAAGAATTTTGACAAGTATTTATTTATTTATTGTCATGTGATACATCTGTTGGAGTCCTTGGCATTTGATTTCACAGCTATGTTTTCCTTGTGGATCCTTTTAGGCCACTGGACCTAACTATCCACAGACACTGGCTTTCCTGGGAAGTCCAGATCTGTTGGAGGATCACTTGACTCCATGCAAATCAAAGCACTCACCCAATTCGTATTTTCAGCATGCCACTGAACAACTCAGGGCTATTGGAGATGATCCAGCCGATATGGATGACCAGTTCTTGCTGAATGACTGCTTCCCTTTCATCGTGGGTATTACACTTATAATAAATGATGTTCTTAATCACTCCTGGAGACAAAGGGTTAGAGATGACCTCCTCTTCATGTCCAAAGGCACCCAAAGTTACCTGTAAGTGCCAGATTGTACTGTTAACAAATTCCTAGCTAAAAAAAAAGAAAAAAAAGAATTGAAATTCAAGGTTCAGGATGACTGGCAGACTGAAATTGCTCTATGCAAGCTAGGGAGTTAAGAAGGATAACTGTTTCTACTATTTATTAAAATGGCTTTCAAAGTATGACTTCCACCTGGGTCCATGATAATTCAGCGTCTAGTCTAAAATGTAAGGGCAGGTGAGGGTCTCAGGGGAGTGAAGGCTGAATACATATAAATAACTATTAACTTGGGAGGGGGCAATTTTAGTGCTAGAAAGTCCCTAGAGGAAGCAGAGTACATTCTATAGCTGTATTTTACTACACAGTTCAGCATTTGGGAGATCTATTTTTATAGTTTCTCAAGTAGAAACTTCTGTTCTATAAAAACATTTCAACCTTTCCAAAGTCAGGAGAGAGGCCATGCAGTTTTTGTGTATCCCTCACTTACCCTGGAATAATGTTAGGTATATATGGAGGGTTATGATCCATGGTACTAGATAGCTCAGCTATGGAATGGATGGATTGGCTGCCCACTAGCTTGCTAAAAGAAAAGGCTCAGAGGGAAATGGCAAAGAAAACTCAAAGCAGAAAGTGCTGATAGAGCTGGCAAGATAACACTTGCATCTCTCCTCTTTCCTGGGTTAGCTGCTTCTCAGGGGGCCTGCAGCTCTTGCTTCCTCCTTGTCACTGCTTCTGTGTACAGCTCACAATTGTACAAGGCAGGAAAAGCAGCAACACCTCAAAGACATGTGCTGTCAGAGATGAGGGATGAGGAGCAGAACATAGTCTTTTGCTCCAATGTTGTCATGGACTAAAAGTAAGAACTGGCTTGGTATAGTGGCAAACATCCAAAATAAATTCTCTTGGAAGCGGAAGCAGGAGGATAATGAGTCTGGGCCAGCCTGAACTTTAGATAATACATACATACATATATACATATATATATATATACATTTAAACTAATCAACCTCTAAGAACTACTGATTTAGCAAATATTAATGACACCAACCAGTAAATATGAGTATGATTACTTTGATTAAAATGTCACCATGTAAAGAAAACAGAGGTTCATTATTGGCTCCTAGAGATAATGAGACTAAACTACTTTTATTCAAGAGAGCTTGAGACAATTTACAAGTCATTTGAGGAAACCACACTACTTCAGGCTGGAGCACATCTTATAAATAGCAAATGCACACTTAGCTCTATTTCCATTTCTCTGTCTATGTAGGGGTGAGAATCAGTATAGATACTGCCTGTATCTGGCCATTAGACTGAGCTGTTGGTGTCTGGCCTCACCCTTTGCAGTAAGGGAATATTTCTCTGGGAGATATGTTGGTCTGGTGGGCAGTGGTCCAGGCATAGCTTGAGGGCAGGCTCTGAGGCTTATGGAATGTGGGAGCAGCATCTTGAGGGCAGGCTGCAGCCACCTATGGATATTTCTCAGATGGAGAAGACAAACCAACCCGTCTAGTGTCAGGCCAGTAACTCCCAAAGTTCTAAAACCCATGGGCACAGGCAGGAGAATTAGCCTTGCTTCAGTGTGAAGGGCACTTACACCAAGGAGAAGTAAGTTTCTCAACGCCTGCTAATGCGCTTTCACAGGTGTAATGGTGGGGGATGAGAGCGCACACTCTGGCTACAGATACAGACCCTGCCAGTCAGAGGTGCTGGATAAACGACTTCCTGTCCCTTGGTTTGCCAAGTCACCGACCATGGCTTAAAGTTTACCTCCTAATGTGGAGCATGGAGAAAACTATATGGAAAGTAACTTTTTCTCAGTAATTTCTTATTAGTGTAATGATTTTTAACTGTTGAACAACATCATAATAGAAGGTAAATATCATTATTCTAACATCCCTAAAGCTGGGTTTCTGAATGAAATTATTTCAGTTCTAATTAAGAGTCCTGAAATATGAACAATTAGTTGATAATATTAAGGAAGGTTAAAGAACTCCATTATTATTAAAGCTTACTATATCCCTAGATTAGCTGTCAGGAACACACAAGAAACATATACATTTTCAAAGGACAGACTGAAAGCAAACAGGGCTTCACTCTAATCAAACAATGAATCAGCCAGATGATCAGCGATTACAGAAAATGAGCAGCAGCACCAGACTCCACATGCACAGCTCAAGCCAACCCATTCACCCTCCAGGATTGTGGAAAGAGACACAGGGCTGGGGAGGGGGAGAGGAGGAGGGAGAGAGAGTGCACTAACTATAGATGGGCCTGTGAGCAGAAGACACAGATTTGACCCTGGTGGGTAGAAAGGAGCTAGGCGAGAGATGGCCTGGAGTGTAGAGGGTGGAGGGCCAGTTCAGGCATGTAGACTCTGGCTCTTCTTGAACATTAATGGGCTCACGAGGAGTGGGAAGGAGGATCAGGTGGAGTCCTTCGTGTGTACCTAGCTTCTGCTCTGCACACCATAGCTGGTCTGAGTGTCCCACTAGCTCCATTACTCTATTTTCTATACCAGAATCTGTACTCAACTCAAGTAAAACATGGAGGCTGGAAATGATAGCCCCAAGCTGCAGGATGAAAATGAGATGGTCCACTAAACACTCTGCAGCTTTCAGACTGTGTGTGGATCTTTTTTGCTTGAGGAAAGAGACTTTTGAAGAAACTCCCAAGTCAATGCTAATCTCTTTGTGAACTGTGTATGCCATAGAGGTATGCCAGACATAAATGTCCTAACGGAAACTATCGTGACTGTGATGTGGAAAACAGATACTTACCTGTTTACCCTGCACTAAAACATTAGTAATGGATGGGGCCAGGCTGTCCACTACTTTACTTAAAAGACTTGCTGCACGGCGTACAACCGACCTGAGGGCAAAGAAGAAAGCAGGCCAGATCTTCACAAACAGAAAAGGTGATGAATGAATGGTGCCCTTGACTTGGGGAAACTTAAAAAATATTTATACAGTTGGGTCCTCACATGATAGAGAAGAAACCATAAACTGTCATTAGACCTGACCCTTGACAGATAATCTCACCCTCACCTCAGCCACCATGCTGTGGCAAAAGGCATCACTGGTGCCAAGATCAATATCAAAATAGTAAGGGAAAGAAAAGACCAAGAGGCCCTAACTACTGTTTTAACAGGGATGCGGAGGGAGGAGTTAAGAGCACTGTTTCGTATCAGCAGGGTCATGACAGCGTCTCTGCTGCTTGTGACTGACTCCTGTATCAACTGTGCCACTTTTCTTTCTACAGTGTCATTTTAAAATCATGTCTGCATGTGTGTGCCTGTGACTGTGGGTACATATGTGTACCTGAGTACAGGGGCCTGCAGAGATTGGCAACCTGGAACTCCCTGGAGCCAGAGTTACCAGAGGTCATTAGCTGCCAGACGTCAGGGGCCACGCCCGAACCCTCTGTAGGAGCAGTGTGCGCTCCTACCTACTGGGCCATCTCTCTCTAGCCTTGAAGTGTGATTCTTTTGATACCCGGATAATTAGATGCCTGGATTAGGCGGATCAGTAGTGAATTTCAAAAAATGAATTACTCTTTCTTTCTTGACAAAGACAGAATGGTGGGGGAAGGAATTCACACTTCTATTTTTATATTCCTGGAAAAGTCTTAGAATGTAGAGGAAACAGACTTATACCCCCCCAAATTACACCACATGCAATATATAAGACATTTCCCCTCAAAAGTAAAATTTATGTGAATATTTAGAGAAAGTAAAATCAAAATAGGTTTTAAAGTACCATTTTTAAAAAAAATTTTAGGATCTCCACAGGAATTGGCCTATAACAAGCATTTATATTTCTTAATTACAACATGAATGGACTAGTAGAAAAATCAAGCAAATAGCTGGCCAAGTTAGTGAGACAGATACTTCCCATTTCAAGAGAAACACTTTTCACCAAATACTTGAACACCAAAAGACGCATATAACCCTTGGAATGCAGATAAACCCACATATATCAAGCAACTTGAGTTTCCCAAATTCTGTGCATGTTACCTGTTTCCCATGCACCAGAAAGGTGGTAATGTGAGGAGCTATAGAGGAGGAAAATTTCTGGGTGAATGCAGCCCCGTACCGCACAGCCAGCCTGGGGGCAGTGGAAAGCCATAAAAGGGAGAATAGAATAAATAAAGCTTCCAGGACTCTATTTGTTTAAATATAACAGTCAGCATTTCTAAATTTTGCTACTTAGTGTTTTATCAAAAACATAAGTCTAATGCAGAAGCAAGAATTGGCTTTGCTTAGCGTAAACAATGCTAGAGGCCCATGTGAAACACACTATCTATAAAAAAATAATCCACTGACTGCATGTCTTACTGCAATGAGAACTTACAGAGGAAATGTGAAATATCTAAGCTGGATGCTTATTACTTCTCCAGGCAGGAAAAGTGAGTGTATCTATCATAAAGCAGAGATGCAACATTACTTAGAAATGATTTCGTCCAGTCCCCTTATATCAGAGAACAGAAAGCTGAGGTTTACTAAGATTAAGGGAGTTTCATAAGAAACTATTTAATTGCATCAAAATTGCAGAGCTGCACATTTAGGTACACTCTCCTCATTGTGAATTTAAACACCTTTATTCATGACTCTTTCAACTTAAGTGGTGAGATAATTACCTTTCATTATTTCTGCTTAGAATTAGATGGTCTTTTATGGCCTTCTAAAGCAACAAAACAGATTTTCTAAACATAAGATAAACTTAAAAAAACCTCCTCTGGATAGCACAGCACAGCACAATCGCAACCCTGCCCCCCAGTGAGGTCTCTCTAGGCTCCATCCCTGGAGAGGTTTCCATGCCCAGATAGCTTTCTTTAGTGTTGTGTGACATAGGAACACCCTTCAAGTCTGAAGTCGGGGTGTTGTTTAAATGTCAAAATGAGGCTGAGCAACATCTGTAAGAATCAACTGTTATCATTAAGGCACTGAATACAGCAATACAAAAATTAAAACACAACAAGGAAACTAATACAAACCAAAGCTTTTTGCTGCCAGATCTTCTGTACACTCTCTCAATGTGATCAGACACAGTTCCTAGACAGAGGGTAAGAAAAGTCTTCATTGAAGAAAGCTTTTAACTAAAGGCACAACATTTATTTCCCTTACATAAATAAAACCTCTTAAGTATTCATTTTGTTTTAAACTGACTCGTTTAAATATGTAACCTGAACAAGAAGCATGTGTTCCCAGCACCTTTATGATTTGGTAGTGCTTTCAAAGTTGTACTGTTTTCTTAACTAATATGCAATCTAAACTTTTAAGCAAATACAAGTATTATTTTACCTTCCTACAGAAAACAGAACATAGTAAAACAATTAGGCACCTGAGTATATACCTATTTTTTAGTGGGAGGTTACTATGGTCCTGTTAAGTGTGTGGCGTTATGACCATCCAGCACACCCCAAAGATTTACATGGGCCATGACTCACATGTGGTCAACACCCCCCCAACCCCCCCAACTTCCCTCCCCCAGGATTCACCCTTTGGCCATGACTCACATGTGGTCAACACCCCCCCAACTCCCCCCAACTCCCCTCCCCAGGATTCACCCTTTGGCCATGGCTTACATGTGGTCTGCACTCTGGACTGGTTTTATCAGGAAGAAACAATGTGACAGAATTGAGTTCCCGAAAAGTTAGGAAGGATAAGGAAAAAAGATCTTTAAAATTTCCTACACTTATTTTTACAATCTTAAATTAGATTAAATATATCCAGGTTCCAAGAATGCCTGCAAACACTGGGCTTGGTGGTGCAGGCTGTATTCCAAGCTACCCAGCTGAGGCCGGAGGACAGCACGGGCAGAGCTTGCCTGGGTCGCAGAGGGGGATGGGGTGTGCACACCCCAGCGAGGCCACTGAGCAGTAATAGGGCTAGAGATGTAGCTCAGAGTCGAGCATTTCCCTAGCATGCACAAGGCGGACATCGAGTCCCAGTACTGCAAATAAAAACAAATTTAAAAAGCAGTCCTGAAGTTTTCTGGATATCTAAGTAAAAGATGTTTATTTCCAAGCTTACAAAAATGCTTTGAAAATATTTCCCAGTAATAAGTAACTAAAAATAAACAAAACAATTCCAAAACCTAAAAGTAAACAAAAACATGCTGAATTCTCTTAATTTTAACTTAAAAATGTCTTACTTCTTTTTGTTTTAACTAAAGGTTAAATGTCAATGACTGTCCTTAATGCAAATCTTTAGTATTAAGACAAAAAAAAAAAAAAGAAAAAGAAAAAGAAAGGAAAAGAAAGATTTTGTTTGAAATCTGCTTCATAATACTCGAGAACTGTGACTCTGTGACTGCCACAACAATGCAGAAACTAGGGAGGCTTTGCTGGAATAAGTTTAGTTCATTTCCAGATGCTAACTGTTAGTGTCACAGTGGCATTCAGGACATTTCCACTTTAACCAAATTAGCATGTACCGCTGAACAGAGTTTTCAGATAAGCCAAAAAGTCCAACGACTGGAAATTAACCATATTTCAGACCTACATTATTTTGTACTATAAAATGCCAGAAACACATCATGAGCTAGAACTTAAGGATTCCTCCAGCACTGACCTAACATACAAACATGGACTTCAAGGATAACTGGGTTTCCTCCTCAGAGCAGAGTGGCCACAGACACAATTAGAAATGACTTATTTTTTTATTGATCACCTTCAGAGCAAAATCCCATTAGGTGTCACATTCTGTTCCAAATGGCTACTACAAACCATGAAGAAGCCAATTTTCACAAATGTAGCTATTCAATACTTGTTCTTGAAAAATTGCAGGAAATAAAACAGGAAACAGCAATGTCAATAAGCAACTATGGGGTGCTCAGAAGTTCACAGTAATGGGCAGAATTCAGGCTCTAGGAACAGTCAGGAATAAAAGTGAGCCGCTGCATTAGAGTCACCCTGAACTAGAGAGTGAAGGAATGCTTTCCATTTACAGGAGTGAGAGGAAATAACGCAGTTTATTTTTCCTCTTTAAATTTTTATTATTTATTTTGAAACATTCATATATGAGTACTGTATTTACATTATTTCCACGCCCTTTTCTTCCTCCAACTCCTCGTGTCCCCCAAACTACTTCTCAAGTTCATGGCCTCTAATTTTCCTTTTTAAGGGCTAGGTGGAATTTACTACAGAGTGATACAAGGCACTTTCAAGGATGAGGGGTGCGCTGGACAAAGGGACCTTTGTAAATTACGGGACAGTGAAGATGGCTAGAGAGAGCATGGGACCAACCTATATTTTAGGCAAGTCTTATATTATTTCTTTTTTTAATATTTTTTATTAGAAAGTCTTATTTTACATATCAATCCCAGTTCCCTCTCCCTCCCTGCCTCCCATGCCCCCCACCAGCCCCTCATCCCCTACCCCTTCTGCTCCCCAGGGAGGGTGAGGCCTTCCATGGGGGATTATCAGAGTCTGCCAACAGTGGGCTTTTCTACGCATATCTTATAGGCAGGTTACAGAGGTCCTCCTCTTACCTTCCATTGTGATGAAGTCAGGGCCCTCTCTTTTGAGCAGTATACCCAGCAGGATGGTCTGACCAGCCAGACAATTGCAGCCCTGAAAACATCAACTGGCATAAGGACTGGGATGAAATGAGTACCAGTAACCATAGGATTTAACTACTAATAAAACCACATGATGCAGAGAAGGAATAGCCTGATACAGAACTGAAGGAAGTTAAGATATCATTGATACAATAAATGTAAGATGACATTACAGACCTGTTGGTCTGAGATGCCTTGAAGGCAGGAGGTACACAAGTTAGCTCCTGGATATAGCAGGATTCAGTGACCAAATGTTCCCGGAAACAAAATAATTGATGGACAGATTCTACAGTGTGTACAAATACTGATGTACCACTACCTGAGACTCGGTCAAGCCACTCTCTTCCTGGTTTTACACATTTATAAGTGGGATATCATGTTACTATCAGGGCATATGGAGAGGCACATAACAGGAAGGGACATCCTATCGATTTATTTATCTTTCAGGACACTGTTTATGTTCTCTGTGACTGCCATGTGATCTCCTTATTTATATGGATTAATAATAAGCTAGCCATGACTGGAAGGAAAGTATCTACATGCTCAAATCTGTGTTTATAGCTCTACCAGTGAGGCGTCATTTCTTTTTATAAGTGTGAATAAGCTCAAGGGAGATTAATAAATTGCTACAGCACTCATGTGGGCACATCAGTGTTTCCTCATGACAGGAGAGACAAAGCATTCATTGGAGCTAAACTCTGGGGCATGGAGCAGAGGGAGAAAAGAGCACTGAATGAACAACCAGAGGAACCCATAGGCCGCCATCATGGACTCCATGCCTTTACTGCTTCCCACAGCCAACTGCAATCTGAAAAGTCTTACTGTCTGTACTCTTTCATACATCTACACTAGGACAACTTTACACTGCTTGCCCTGGGTACAGACCAGCCACCTGTTTCTCTCAGAGGGCACAAAGACACCTGGCTGACTGAGAGGTCCTGTTCTGGCAGGTGTGGTGACATCTCACTCACATTCAGCCTCTGGAGGATGTCATGGGTGGGTCTGTTTCTCCACTCGGTGATGGTGACATCCGGTTCCTGTTTCAGCTCAGGAGCATCTACAGTACTGCTCTGCCGTTTGACTTTTGAATGCTTGGGAAATTCTAGTTCTTCAAAGCTCTTAAACTCTGGAAGTCTGCAAATCAAAAGAAAACATTTCAGATTTCCCGCTTCCTTAATGTAATCACAAGAAATGCAGAAACCAAGTATCTCAAGGGGACTTACTTTTCTGTGTCACTAATGCGTAGAAAGTCAAGCTGCTCTACCACAGCTCCAGATATCAATGTCTGCAATGTGATGATTCAAAACATTTACATCTGTCACGCTATACTCTATGCTCATACTTTTCTATAAGCAATGCTGGCTTATTAATTATAACTCTGAAGTGATTTCCTTAGTGAGCATTCCAAATTCAGTGATTTCTATATGAAACAAATGAAAACATGATACAAACATCTACAAATAGACTACAAACAAACAAGTTCATGAATCATATTATATAGGAAAGCCACCATGAGATGATCTGTTTTTTTAATTATAAGCATGTATTTAATTATTACAGTGTTGGGGATTGAGCCCAGAGTCTCCACTGATTGTTTAAACCACCATCTTTATATGCTGTATTTTAAAGTAGTACTAAAATATTTCAGCATTTATTAAACTTTTAGAAAATAAAGTACGAAATTGTTTTTAGGGAAGGCAATAGATTCTGATATTGCAATATATTTCAGGACCATCTAGTGATGCAATAAACACATCTCCATTTTGCAGGATCATGAAGGTAATGATCATCTAAGCAATTGTTTCTCTGCACTCTGGCATGTGGCAACCCATACTTGGTCATTTTATATTCCACTACTTCTCTTTAATAGTTGGGCAAACTAAGTGAGTCTAAAATCAAGCATATATTTGCTTGTCAGTGCATCATGGTGAATAGTATGAATGAGTGGCCACATATAATGTTTTTTAGCATACTTATTACTTCTAATAATCTAAAGAACTATCAAAAAACAAGCTGTAAGTGATTATTATTATTAAATTATGGATTATGTTACAAATATCATTTTGTTCAGGTTTTCTTCAAATATGAAGAAGCTGTGGGTAGGAGATATGCTTTTGGTGGCAAATGAACCCATCATTTCTCTAGTGGAACCGATGAAAGAGGAACATCCACAAATGCACACTTACAGATGCAGGGAGGACACACAACACAGGCACACTATTTTTTCCTGTAAAGCATGGATACGAGAGCCAAATGTGCAGCCCTTGTGTACATTTCAACACTGCCCAATTATAAGCAGACTGCTCTTAGATTATGAACTTTCTGAGGGTAGAGTCTTGTCTAGATTTGTTGAATGGTGTTTCCTAACACATGAGCTCATATCTGTAAATTTTGGGTTTTTTTGGCAAAGTAATTTGTTAGACAAATACTTGTTGATCATATGCAAGCATTATATTAGGTGCTAAGGATTAGCATGAAAACAATATACGAAATCTGTATTCCCTTGAAGGTGACTGTGGTGGTTTGAAAGAAAATGGCCTCCAATGGAGTGGCACTATGACGAGGTGTGGCCTTGTTGGAGGAAGTGTCTAACTGTGGGGGCAGGCTTGGAGGTCTCTTTTGCTCAAGCTTCCCTCAGTGTGACAGTCAGTCAACTTCCCGTTGCCTATAAGATGTAGCACTCTCAGCTCCAGCACTACATCTGCCTGCACGCTGCCATGCTCCCCATCATGGTGATAATGGACTGAACCTCTCAAACTGTAATCAAGTCACCAGATTAAATGCTTTGTAAGAGTAGCCATGGTCATGGTGTCTCTTCCCAGAAATAAAAACCCAAACTAAGACACTGACCTTATTTATGACTATGTCTATAAGACAGATACTATAAACTTAGTAAACATCAGGTGATGTCATTGCAAAGCAGAAAAATAAATGCTAAGTGTAAATAAGAACAGTAGGGGGAAAGGGTACTAGGGCAGAGGAATTAAAGGAGGCAGGTTAGAAAATTTCTCTAACAAGATAACATGTAAATCAAACAATGCGAAGAGGACTGTAGTCAGTGTTCAGGCTGGAAGACTATAGTCAACGTTCACAGTATCAAGTTCAAAGGTCCCAGGGCAGGAGCATGCATGGTGAATTTTAGAAGCAATAAAGAAGACAGTATGGCTGAAATACAGTGGCTGGGAAGTTGGTAGAAAGCCAGGTCCATGACGCAGGTGCAGGACTTACAGACCACATGGACCATCTTTGGGACTTCACTTCTGTTGTGTGAGAAAAAAAGTCACTGGAGGTTTACAATCCATGTGACTGCCAGGGACAAGTGAGTATGACAAAGTTAACTATCGATAGCAGAACTCAGGAGATGACAGAAAAAAAAATCTGTGGGGAGCCTGCATCATGATGTCAATGCTAGGGGGAGTGAGTTAGAGTTTGGATACACTAAGAACGTACAGACAACAGGGTTAGTAAATAATTACTATGTAGGGTATGAAAAAGAGTCAAAACTTACTAAATTTTTTTTTTTTTGGTTTTATGAGACAGGGTTTCTCTGTATTGTTTTGGAGGCTGTTGGACCAGCCCGGCCTTGAACTCACAGAGATCCGCCTGCCTCTGCCTCCCAAGTGTTGGGATTAAAGGCGTGCGCCACCACCGCCCGGACAAAACTTACTAAATTCTTAAAGCTAACAACAATATTGAAAGCATACAAATGAAACTTTTATTTAACATTTTATATTTATATAGCCTACTTACCCTTATTGGCTATTTCTGTCCATAAAGTAAATGTTTACCTTAAGTGAACTGGCTAATGCCAAATCCTATTAATACTCAATAGATTTCAATTTTAAAACACCACTTGGCATTAGAGAGCATTGAATTAGCTAAAAGCACTTGATTTTTCTGGAAGAGGATGTAGACAAGGAGGCAACAGTACTCTGGCAGAATGGGTGTTTCTGCTCACGAACTGTGTGGGCAATGCTGTGATGCTTGAATGGAACAGTGATTCCTCCTGGTGGAATGTTACAGTTCAGTAAGCCAAACATAGCTGACCAAAATGCCTGTCAAACCCCAAGGTTACAAGCAAGTCATTCGTCTACTTAGGAACCGGTTTTCTCAAATACAGACTGAAGTTAAGGCACCAGAGTCTAAAGTTCTACATAGATAATAGCCACTCAAAGTCTAAAATTCAACACAGATAATGGCCACTAGAGCACCTGACTGGTACAGCTGGATAAACCAGGGTGACGACAACAGAGCAGGAAGGCAAGCACAGAATAAAACTTGCTAACCACATTGAGAAAGAACCATGGCTGCCCTGAGATTAGCTGTCCATAACCAGAAACATGCTGAGGGTTAGAGAGCTACCTGCAGACGATCAACATGAACTTTGACTCCTCCAATTACTCCCTTTTTAAAGGCTGCCAGCATGTCTAATATGGGGTTGAACCTGCTACCCCTAGAAGAAAGCAAATAAACAAAACGAGCTTATTAACAATAGAGTGGGAAATTAACAATCAAATATTTGCTATATATGGGAAAGTGCTTGCAACATGCTAAGAAGAATACAAAAATAACCAGGAAGCTCTGTATTCAAACATTCTATGCTAACAGCCAGAAAGCAAGTGAAGCTTACTTTCTAAAAATCTATGTATTTTACTTTTAGTTATGTCTGTATCTGGGTGTATGCTTGTGAATGCAGTATCCATAGAGGCCAGAAGAGAGCATGAGATTCTCTGGAGCTGGACTCATAGGCTATTGAGAACCATCTGGCATAAATGCTGGGACCTGAACTCAGGTCCCTGCAAGAAATGTATAAGCTTTTAAGTGCTGAGCCATTTCTTCAGCCCCATAGCTTACTTTTCCATCAACCTACCTTATGTTGTCTTCCCGGATGAGAACAAGGAAAAGTGGGCGGCCATGCATTTTCCAGTATTGCTTAATGAACTGTAGCGCGTTCTATCAAAAAATTAGATGGAGGCAGGATGTCAAAGAGGAATGTCTGACTTTGCCTGGGGTCAATAACTGAGAGGCAAAGTGCCCGTGATACTTGTAACAGGGATAATCGACCCCTGGGTAATTTAGGCTACTCAGAAGTATAGAATCATTTTCATTTTAAACTTTGCTCTGTTCTGAGGTTTTGACTTATTCATGCCTTTCTTTACCCTTCCCTTCATGTTTCTTTCTCTTCCTAAAAAAGTATAGTTCATGAATGCATGGAGAAAAAAACAATCCCTATGTTCTATCACTCAGAAGACCATCATAACCTTTCAATATGGGTTAGTATCAAGAGGCAAATGAGAATGACCTGGATCTATGGAAACCATCAGTTATGTGTCGAGAGTGCTTTGAGTAAATATGTATTGTCATCAACATCACATCACTTTTTACCACGTGTCCAGCACTTTCTGAGTGTCTTACTTACATTAATTCATCAATTCCTCAGAACAGTCCTTTTATTATCTGATTATACAGATGAAACAAGGTAAGTAACTTGGCTGAGAACACACAGCTGGTTAATAAGAGTCAGGAATTTAACAGATGCAGTCTGGTCCAAGTGTTGTGACTATGGTTCTAAGCCTCTCTGCTCTACATACAGAGTAGAGTGGAGCAGACCACACTCCATCTAATTATGGGTGAGATGAAGTCCTACTGGACAGTCTTCACAAACGAAACTATTCTGCTAGTTCAATTTTTGCTCAAAGAGATGAACTATTGGTATCTTAGAAGCACACTTTCAAACTCTATCTTTTCCATTTCTAGAAAAGTAATTTTAGTTTAGCATGACCAAAACCCTAACTCTGCCCAGGTGCTGTTTACTCAGTGTCAGCCAGGAACTCTCCATTAAATAACACCTGACGCGAATCAGTGTGAACAAAATCATCTCTTTTCACAGCTACCTTTATGTCATCGATCAGCAGCAGAACATCCTGAGACATGTAGAAGTCACTCAGGTCAAAGATGATGGGGTAACAAACCACCGTCTTTCCTAGGATGCGGTAGATCTGCAAGGGGGAAAGAGAAAGCAAACAGATACAAAACACAAAGGTGCAGGACCCTAAGTCTCAACCACAATTAATATTGATCCTCATTTCTGAATAGCAGAGTAATAGCTTACAAAATCAATAAAGTAGTAATTTTAAAGCTTTTTTTTAAAGAGTCAGTATGATGGTAAATATTTCTAATAAGGTTGAAAAGCCCTATGCTTGAGTAAATATTATTATAAATGTTTTACAAAGCTTAGCAATGACATGCAGTGAAATGTTCATTTATTCCCAGAAAGCTTCAGTAATACAACACTCAATAAGTAAGATTTATGTGCATAAAATAATAATTCAAATAAATGCCTCCAGCACATAACGAAATGTGACAGGGGGTGGCCAGAGACCAAACATGACTTCAGCATGCAGAATTGCTACCCAAAGAGCACTCACCTTTGATGTACCAAGGCAGCCAATGGGCCTATCTGGCCTTCCAGACAGCCCTAGCTTTTCATTGATACCCAGATGGAAATAAGCCTGTAAGACACAAGTCCCTTGGCTTATTAAAGACATTTCTAGAGAAAAAGATGCTGCAGAAACTCTATATAGGATCAACAATGTAGCCAAAGAATGGTGGATTTGGGGTAACTGAGTTTTTGAGAGCAAAACTTTAGATTCACTTAGCAACATTCTAAACTGTGTCACTGTTAAGGAATTGGTGAAAGTGTACAACCTGCATGGCTTTGATTCATAAAGCAGCTCAAAAGAGACAGATGCTTCCTTGTTGTTACAAAAAAAAAATTCATCCATTTAAGGTTTAAAAAAAATCAGGGCCACACATCATCCATTGAGTTTCTACTTTCAAGTGTATTTTATTAAAATGGCAACGTTTTTTTTTACTGATTTGTTTTCTGATATCATGAATTTCAAAGTACTCCAACCCAAAATGTTGGTCTTGTTTCTTTTCCGACCTTATGCAACAATTATTTGGCTCTGGTATATTTTGAAAGGGGTGTATAAGTTATTGCATAAGCCTGAAGAAGCATCAAAAGATTCTTAAAGGACACAGGCTAAACATGTGTCCACAATATATGCATGGATCAGTGGGTACACATTACATGAATGGTTCCTATAATTTATAATCCTCTTGATGTCCCAGTTAATGAGCTTATTATGGCAATGCTCCAGACGATGCTAAGAAAGAAGCGTAGAGGACAGAAAGGGCCACAGTACAGCAGCAATGGCCGGGATTATTATGAGTTAAACACATCCAGCCAGGAAGCCTCCCCACTGCCTGATGAAATGAGCGCTCCATTTGGTTATTTAAAAAATGTTTCAAGTAATATCTTTGGATGGCATGCAATTATATCTAGAAATAATTTCTTAGACTTGCTTGACCAAGAGACCGTACTTTCTTTTTGAAATGTAATACCTGTCTTTTCAACGTCTAGAAATATATATCAACTTACATAGGTCTTTTTTGACAGCCTTTTTGGGTAGAAATGACATTTCATAGTACTGTGTTAAAATATTTGGGGGTCATTTTTCCAGCTTATTAATGTGAATGTTCCCTATTTTTCATTTGTTCCACCTTTTACTGAGTATTTGTCCTTTTTGTAAGATCGAAGGCTTTATCCTTTGAAGTAAATATTTATCCAGCTTTCAATGTTAGAAAATCTGAGGACTACATAGTAGGGAAAGCATCATTCACTGACTGGTGTTTCAGTATTAATATATTTTTCAACTAGGAAATTTCACAACCAGCTTTTATGTTACCAGGTTTTTATGCTTTATATACTGAAATCTGCCATTCATCTGTAAACTGCTCACCACATGTGTGCTGTGGAATGCAAAATAAATAAGTAAAATGTAGTAAAAATTTAAAGTACTCCAAATTTTAATATGTCTAGAATTAATTTGTTTTCCCATTTGATGACATTTTAAAAAACCCTAAATTTTTCTAAATGGATAATCAAATGCCTCCTATACAATATGATTGTGATCCAAACTGTTTGCAAATAACATCATCATATACAAAACTCCTGTGTATCAGAGTTCACTCTTATGTCAGTGTTGATTTCTCCTTTGGAATGGTGCACTCCTGAGGAGAGTGTTCCCTGACTGGCACTGTGCCTGGTGCATGGCTGGTAGGTACCCAGGAAATACTTGACAGATGAATGGGTGAGCAAACTATTGTGAGTGTCCTTCCAAATAGCCTATTGTACAAACAGCAGTGACTTTAAGCAACTGCTTGGAAGAAATACCCAGCAGCACCATACTGCACAGGTGCACGGAGACTGCAGCCCACAATACCAGATTCAATACTTTTTCACAAATATTTTTACATTTTCTGAAATAACTGTGTGACTAAATTATGCTACATTTCTTTTGAGTTAGTAGTAAAATCAATCAATTATACACAAGTTAAAGTCAGCCTACTTAGGCTGTACTGCTATGCTTTTTTTATAGTAAAAAGTCTCCTTTTTTTCCTGAACAAGGCAGGACAATGGCAGTTAAGTAGGCAGTGTGTGGTAATGCTGCCTCCATGCACATATACCCATATACCTAGCTTTCTGAGACACACAGCAGTGCTCAAACACCCAGACATACAGACATGCCTCAGACCACATTTGTACTGTACTCAGACCACCATGATGTACATCTCACCAGTCACCACATTCCAAGCTTTAACCACACAGGGCAAAGGCCTGCTTCCAGCTGTCTGTCCTCATGTCTTCCTTAGTGTGCTGAGATAGGGTGGAGCTCCTCAGAGGAAAAGGAGCGGTGGCTGGTATTAGATTATGTGTATCCAATTAAAATTACCAAGGAGACTTTTTATTTTAAAAGGCAGACTTATAATGGGCAGCATTATGTGTGTGTGTGTGTGTGTATGTATGTATGTACATATATGTATACATACATGTATGCATATATGCTAAACAATGTATCTTAGGGGAGGAAGCCCACATAGCAGCTGGTTTGGAAGACAGGTTGTTGCCACAACCAACACATATTCTTCCATACTGATACAAGCACAGAGAAGCTAGGTTCTTGGTCATAAGTTTGTCTTAAGCCATATCCTACCACCAAAGTATAAATCACTTGCTAACACCATTTTAAAGGAATAAAATGTAAATCAGGACATGCTTCAGATACCGTGTAATAGAATGTTTTCTGTTGCTTCTGTGATCCCATAGCATTTTGTTCAAATACCTACTGTAGCTGTTATCAGAGTGAACTATAATTAATTGTTTTTTTTTCAATGTCATACATACCACTAGACTCAGAGGTCATTTAAGTGATAATCAGTGTTTTGCATATTCCAGTTGTTTGCTAATGAATGGATAAAAGCCACATTCAGGTGGGTTTTTTCCCCCATCTATACTGACTGTCCTTTTACATATGAATTGCATGTCATCTGGCAGAAAATTATCTGCCTACCATTAACAATGTGGTCATATTAATTAGACTTGAAGAACGAGACACTTGTCAGGGACTAACCTTCTGTATTCCCTAGCACTGCCAGTGAGAGGCCAGCAAGCATCTCAGCTGAAACAGCCTGTGCCTGGCTGTACAAGCATCCAAAAACACAGGTACCTCAGTACCCATCTTCAGACTAGTTCTCAAAGTCAACTTTTAATCTCACCCCAAATAGCCATGTTGCTACATCAAACCCATACATTATCATTTAATTTCTTTAGATTCAACAAACCAAACATAGAGGAATTATTTCACCTTCCAAAAAGTAAAGCAGGGAAAAAGCAGGGGCAGGAGGCAGTGATTATAAAAAATTATTTAAAACTGAGGTTTTAAGGTGATATGTAGGAAAATAAAACTATAAATGATGATTTTACACATGACAACTAAAATTGAGAGTGATTTGTTAAAGTGCTAACCTAAGTATATTAATTGATTTCAACAGGAAAAGAAATCAACAAGACCCATGAAAATAATGTATAAACACACACAATGAAGGATTTTGTTCACTGTTTTGTAAGTTGAAATATGATAAAGTGGACTTGTTAGCTTAATTATCAACTTTAAGATAGTGATCTTCTCTCAGGATTTAAATTTAACTATGCCTCTTGCTTTTGAATTAAGTCCAGTAACTTTGTTTCAACACCTCTGCACAAGGGAGAAAGCAAAAACACAGAATCACTTACTTTCACAAGCTCCTGCTGGGGCCAGATCTGAATAGGCTCCACCTGCTGAGGTGTTTGAGTTTGAATACCGTATGTATTGAGAAAAACTTGAAGGCTAAATAGAGAACAGAGAGATGAGGTGGAGAGGGAGGAAGAGAGCTGTTTTTAGACGTTGCATTTATAGTTCAGGAAATGTGAATGAAGGAGGCAAAAGGGAACAGACAATGCTAACTTAGAACATATGGTGAATTAGTTACTATCTGCAATACACCACGTACAGTGGAATCTGAAGGCTTTGATGGCTTCTTCCCCAAAGTATCAGGAGCTTTGGGAGTGGGGGCAGTCAGAAAGGTGGCAGTGATTTTGGTAATCTCTATAATGGTGGGTACTAATTTCTCATATTCACATTTACATGAAAAGTGTGTTGTATGACACTTAAGGTCACACTGATGATATGCCTGAAACTGCCAAGGTTTATTTCTACTGCCATCCTCAATATGATAAACATAAGCCAATCATCCCCTCCCTTTCCCACAGAAGAATGCTGCCTCTCATACCGCTGGCTTTCTGCTACAAGTGCTACATGAACCACCAAGTCGTTTTCCAGTGGACCCTGGAAGGCATAAAAAGAGGAAGAAGAAACATTGAGAAAGATTTGGTCATGGCCAGCTATAATGAGAATCAAGGACGATATTAAGTATCTCCAAGCAGTTCATTAGAGTGATGGACACCAGCGGTGCCTTTCTCTTTTTGCCCGTCAGTGTCTCACTAATCAATTTGATGGTGTAGACAAGAGTAACAGAACACCAGGAAGGAGAGTCATAAATCTCATCACTCCTAGAGAGACTCGCTTGTCAGGGTTTTTTTTGAATGATGCATAAGAGTAGTTTGGGGACTGAGAGTAATTTTCCATCACTTAACTCTGAAGGGAAGAGGAGGAACTAAAAATAAAAAGTTCAATTTATGTGCTTTCCATAAAAAAATGACTGAGTTCAAACTGTTCATTTGACATCTTAACCATATCTAAGGTTATTCCCTTTGCTGTTAGCCAATTTTCCTTTGGCACTTTATATATATATCAAATTGCCTTTTTTCTAATATATAGTTCCCACATATTTGTAAATATAATTAGCATTATGTTCATGAAATATTAGCTGTTGGATTAAGTAGTTCTAATCAAAGATAGTGTTGGGTATTTGCTACTGTTGTGGATGATATATATTATACATATATAATTAACATATATGCTAAAATGAACCCAGTTTCAAGCCTGTATAAATTATCCGTATTAGGGTGCTCTGACAGTGCTGATCTTCCTAGGAACAAATCCGGCAGTCCCAATAGTATGCTATGAAACATTTGATTTACTGTAAGTTTCTGTCTACAGTATGTGGGGTGGCAGGCAAGAAACAGTGGAATACTTATATTAGCAGTAAATGTCATAAAATCAATAGGAGAGTTCCCAGAACCATCATGAAAATGACATTACAGGCATACTGCCATATGATTTAGGTAAATGTATAAGAGAGATATGACAACACCCAGCAAAACCAAGCACACCTTACAAGGTTATAAACTAATATCTGATAAGACTTTGTAAATGACTGTTTCTTAAAACAATGAGCAAAGCTAATTATTCTGAATATCATCAAGATTTCTAATACAATAGAAAACCATTAAGCTGATGAGACCTAGTAATTACTTTGTCTCCAGGACAAAGGTGTTTATGTATTTCTTAGTAGACAGTAAGTCAACACACACACTCCAATACAGCCCCTGAGTGGTCAGCACTATTTTTCTGAATAACAGGTGGGCTTGGGGTGACACTGTTGCCATTGTATGTGTTCAGAACGAAAACAGCCAGTACACCTTGAATCCCGGTGAGTACTCAGGCTCATTAGATGCCTGAGGAAATCTTGACAGGATAGAAAACCAGCATATCACAGAGTTCTGACTCAGTCATCTACCAGATGGGTTGCAAGCCCAGCTCCACACCCCAGCCCACTCCACATAGCAAAGTGATCAACAGGGGTGGTCCCACCACAACGCCATGCCTTTCAAGTCAGAACCATTTTTTCCCATTTTAAAAAACCAATTATTATCTAAAGATTGCAAATGTGCTGACCACTTCCTTATCAGAAAGTAAGGTAATTAGTACTTCCTGAGTGACAAGTTTCTCTAATAATAAAATAGTTTCAACTTCTAAAGTTCCTCTCTCTCCTCTTCCCCTCTCGCCAGCCCTGTGATCCCACTACTCTCCCTTTCCCATCATTTATTCATACACAAGGCTCCACATTCTTCCATAGTTCAGCTAAATACAGCTGTGCCCCTCCTTGAGGCACTCAAAGCCTAAGGAAGAGATGGAGAACTGCCAACTGTGACATATGTCCATGATAACATAAAATCTTTCACAGCATTTTACTAGGATAGAGCTACCTTGCTGGGAAAACTATCTCCAGGGTATATAATATTACACAGGCAAACCATACTTTACTTAAGGAATGCTTGCTTTAATAGACACTTGGATGGTTTCTATTTTTTTTTTTTTTTTTGCTTCTGCAGATTTGTCTTTACTTCAGAAAATTAAGACTTTTGGGAGATAACAAAGTGCTTCACATATTCAACATAAGAAACACTCTCCCAAAGGGCACTGCTGCTACAGCTGTAGTTAGTTATTTTTACACTTACTGTAGGACAGTTGATCCTCTTTGGTGATTTAAAACTCTATGCCGCCCTGGATCCACGATTCTAAGACGTGTAGATCAGTCATTATCATATATGTAAATATGATGGCTAGTTCTTCCCTAAAGAATTTCAAGATATCTCAAAAGATTACTGCCATCTTCCTTAATATAAATGTTCTCCTTTAACCTTCAAATTCGGTTGCTGCAATTTTTACCCTGAAGTGGGACTTTAACCAAAAGTAGGTCCACACTAGACACAGCGACTAGGGACCTGAGGCCTGCGGCTTCCAACACTGTGAGAACCATGGTTTATAAGCCGCTCAGTCCATGTGTTCTGTTTCGGCAGCTGAGCAGACTGCGATGCTCTCCATCTCTCTCTTCTCAAACTTGAAAAAAAACCTTTCTGCTCTAGCCAGTGCAATCCTCCCTCTGTGCTGCTTCAGGGATGGATGACCCACACACTGAGGCCCCGTGGAAGTTATGAGTATTCATTCCGTTCCTTTCCGTTCTCTACAAGCTCCCTTCACTAAATTGCAAGGCTGGGATTCAAACCAGTCTAGTCTTTTCTTATACCATTATAGTGTGCCTTGCTAATGTGTTGCTAACTCAATAATAAATCCCGCTAGCTCTGGCTATCCCGCCCCCACCCCCACCCAGCTCTGCCCGCCCCCACCCCCACTCAGCTCTGGCCATCCCCCCACCCCCACCCAGCTCTGCCCGCCCCCCCACACCCACCCCCACTCAGCTCTGGCCATCCCCCCACTCCCACCCAGCTCTGCCCGCCCCCCACCCCCACTCAGCTCTGCCAGCCCACCACACCCACCCCACCCCCACTCAGCTCTGCCCGCCCCCCACACCCACCCCCACTCAGCTCTGGCCATCCCCCTCACCCTCCCCAGCTCTGCCCGCCCCCCACCCCCACTCAGCTCTGGCCATCCCCCCACCTCCACCCAGCTCTGCCGCCCCCACCCCCACCCCCACTCAGCTCTGCCCGCCCCCACCCCCACCCCCACTCAGCTCTGCCGCCCACCACACCCACCCCACATACCCTAAACACATTGCAACCTCCATCTGCACTGTCACTAGTACCCCACTCAAAGATGCCATGACCTGTACTTGGACAATTAACTGGCCTTTCTATCCCAACGTTGACTCTGCCATTCATAGCCTCCATCCTACAGACAGCTATTTAGAAAGTGTAAATTCATCATCCATAATTGGCATCCTACCTAATCCGCACATACACACGACACAAACTCTCCAATGGTTTCCTATCACCCGTAGGACACGAACCAAACTGCTTTAAGGATGCCTTTCCTGTTCCAGGTCCTGCCTTCTTTCCCATCATGTTCTAGTGACACTGGGTTTCCTTTGCCCCTTGAACATGGCAGCTGGGTTGCCATCACAGGGCTTCTGCAGGGGCTGCACTTCCTTAGAATGCTTTTCCTACAGATTACTGAATGAGCATCTTCTCACATGGGTCAACTGTGGTCCCGCCCTCTTAGGGTCTTCTCCTTCCCCTATAGATGAATCTGCTCCTCCATCCCACTTCACCTTTAGGTCTACCTCAACGGTCCTGTCAGCTCCAGAAATTGTGTTACGCTATCAATTGTTATTCAGTCCTCAAAAAGTAACTCTGTGAGAGCAAGGACTTCAAGCTACCTTGTGTTTACTGTTCTGCTCCACTGCCATTACTCTTTGATAAATGACTGCCCAGGAAAGTCTCCCAGTTCAGTGTTTATCTGTAATTTAGGTCCACCACACATGGAGAGATTCAAAATAAAAATGACATCATGTAAAATATTCACAAAATTTGGTTTACTACACAAATGGTATTTATACTATTGTTTTTCATATGACTCCCGAAGTTACCTTTATCTCTGTTTGTTTTTGCTCACTCACCTATACACTGAAAATAAAAGTCTACTTCAGGATAAGGGATTAGGGATATAATATAGCCCAGCACACACATGACCCTATACTCAATCTCCAGTGCTGGGGGGGAAAAAAAACCCTGAAAAAACGAAAACAAAATACCTACTGTATAACTGTGATGACTGCACACACATTTAACACTATAATCCAAGACAACTAATTCCACCACACATCTGGCGTCATTCCAACAGCTTCTTTGGTGTTCAGCTTCACACAGACCTCTGTTTGTCTTCTGTACTTCAGAGCCAAGTTATTTTTCTTATATCACTGACTTGTATTAAGGAAGTAGCCAATTGTTGAACAAATGAAGAGAAGAATGGTGAGTGTTTAGGACATCTAGTGTCTCTCAGATAAAGCCAAAACTCTGGAAGGACTTTTACAATCTAGATGCAACATTCTCCTCCCTGTTTACACTAAAACACTTCGCTAGAAAACATAGTTCATTCTCTCCCATCTCAGTTCCTGCCTGCTGTCCTTCACATTAGGACTGCAATTCTCTTCTCTGTCTATTCATATCCCGACTCTTTTGAGTCAGTCTCCTCTAACTATGGCTCCAAAACTCAGAGTGTTCATGTTATCTTCCATCTCTGCTAGCAAGAGCAGGTTCCCACAACAGTTACTGAGTACTCATCATAGACTATTGCAGGCCATTTTTGAAAGAGTTATCAGCTTATGGAGTGTTTATGGGTGGTCTATATAATGACAGACTTGAAGGACCCTTTTTCACACTAGGAATGGACACAATACCTTGATATTCATTTGATGGCTTGGAAGAAAAACATGTTTGGTTTCCTGATTGCAATACATGAATCCTAAACATACACAGCAAATGTCTGCAAATATGGGGCTGAGAGATGGCTCAGAGGTTAAGAGCTGGCTGCTCTTTCAAAGATCTCTAGTTCAATTCCCAGCAACCACATGGTGGCTCACAACCTTCTCTAGTGGGATCTGATGCCCTCTTCTGGCATAAAGGCATACATGAAGATAGAGCACT